GCCGAGTGATTGTGAGAAAAAAATAAGTCCGGTGAAGAGCAAAACCCAATATGGAATAAGTTAATTAAGTTGGGGAATAATTACTTAACAGAAATTTGAGTTGTATTGTTGCCTGACAATAGCTCAGTTCTAACTGGGGATACAATAATTCAGTTCTAACAGCGGGGACTGGTTCACACCCCCTTTTAGAATTTATAAATCGGGGAGGTGAGCCAGTCTACTTGCACGTTGGCTCTAGGTACAAAACAATCTCTCTTTTTTTTCGGTGAAGAAAAGTTTTATCCGCATGGACAAAGTGGTTGAGGTCATCAACAAAATGTCATGGCTAACTACACTAAATGCTTTCTCTTTCAAGAACAGGAATTCCCGCCTCATTTCACAAACCTCCTAGTCCCACAAAACATCACTAATGGAGATGAGATATATATCATAAAAGCATTTATCTTACTGCCTTGGCCTTAGCAAAAATATTTAGAGCGTGTAATATTGTTTCCTTCATCATGCAAAAAAGTCAGAAATTGAATGACACAGTCACATACACCTCACCTTGAAGCTTGCTTCATCCTTTTTTTTTTTACAAATGGGATGCTCCGTATTGATATCAGCCAATAAAAAAAAGATGTCGGTTAATTATCCAAATAGGGCAGGCATATTAATTTTCTTGATTTTTTCTGCCACACGAAAAAGCGATCATGACGCTTTTTTAAAAAAAATTTATTTTTTTTTGTTCGGGAGGTAGCATGGAAGGATACATACATGTAGATCACGAGCTTAAAATTACTGCACAGAAAATCAAGCAAAAAAGTTACATCATTCGAACATGCTGTGCAGAGGTTTTTACCAAAAATACACTTAATATTTCATTAGCAAATTGTAGCATGTAGTAATTTTTGTAATAATAAGTTTCTCTCTCAAATGACGTCACTGCCTACAGCTTACCACCTGCATCAGCATTTTGGGGGTCGAATTTTTGTGACGCGCATCGGCTGTGCCGTGTTTCGAAGAAATTTCAAGCAACATGGGCACATGTTTAGAACATTTTGCACACTGCACCTAATGGCGTTGAATACGCAACTGTAATTTTCCTATGAAGATGGCCGTCTAAGAGAGGGGGCTATACTTCATGAGTTAATTAGGCAGCCATCCATTCAATTGGACAACACACTGAACACAATGGATCTCAAGTTAAGGCCAAAAAAAAAGTCTCCGGTTTCTGGTATGCGCGCGCGTCGCCGTAGCCATGCGCGTCGGCAAAATGAAAAAGTTTTTTTTTCAATGAAAGATGATGTCTCAAAACCGCCAAACTCACTGGTTTGACTGGAATCCTGCTGCTGCACAATTTTAACGTTTTTTTAGATGGGGTTATGATCGAGAATAAGCTTTATGTGGCCTCTCTGGTCTCCCATAATATTTGCACTAAGTTTAGTCGGGCACCATTTGCAGTCATCAGCCGACATTTGAAGCAAAAAAAACAGGTAAAAAAAAAAAAAAAAGCCGCGTCGCCGCACCACTTTTTGGGCAAGCTCCATACCAGAAACCGGAGACTTTTTTTTTTGGCCTAAAGGTACATGGGAACATTGGTAAACTTTACCCAAGATACCAATTTAATGATAAAAACCGTGCTAGAAGTGAAGAAAGGACTGGTACCCAATACCCTGTGAATGTATTCCGTCTGAAATGGTATCATCCAAGAGATAACAATCATTGAAGGTGATTTCAAAAAAGTGTGCCCGCAGACAATTTTTTTTTTTTAAATTTGATGTGTTAAATACTGCGACGATTACCCATCCTGTATGACTTTCACATCACATTTGCACTAACCGGCTGAATAAAAACCATGTCTAGAGAACTGATTTAGGGATTTCATCATGCCATTTGATACATGAAACAGCAACTTTTGAATCAAATGCACTAACAACGGAATCGCTTACGAGACCAAAACAAATTGTGCAATGCTGTTTTCTAATACATTGTATAAGTTACATCCACTGATCTGAAACTCCAACAGTTGTTATGCATCCTACTTATTAATATTGTAAACAATTTTTCTAAACGAAAAATGCACAAACCGCAAATAATTCTCTGGGACCTTTAATGGAATTACAACATGAAATGTGTATTTTATGTCATTTTACTCTGATATTGAGTTCGTGTGTTGGCCTACACTGTATAAACCACAGTGCAAAGCATTTTGAGAAATTGAAGGTTAGCCATGCATCACCATGATCACTCAGCATTTTTTTCAATGCCATTGCCAACCAATTCATTGTGGCAACCTAACAAAATTAGGATGATATAATTGTGGGGCTGACCAGGCCTAAACTAAATTACATAGAGCCAAAAGCACTTAGAGAAATACATGCAAATCACAATTTCGGGAAATATTGAGTGGCATTTGGGGGAAAAGTTTTTCAATTTGTAGAAAAGAGAAATTGAAATGGTAAATCCAAACACTCTTCTTGGTTTTTCAAATACCTCAGAATTTTATTTAAGGTTAGGGTCATTCTATACATTTGGCCTAAACTAAATTACATAGAGCCAAAGCACTTAGAGAAATACATGCAAATCACAATTCCTGGAAATATTGAGTGGCATTTGGGGGAAAAGTTTTTCAATTTGTAGAAAAGAGAAATTGAAATGGTAACTCCAAACACTATTCTTGGTTTTTCAAATACCTCAGAATTTTATTTAAGGTTAGGGTCATTCTATAAACTTGGCCTAAACTAAATTACATAGAGCCAAAAGCACTTAGAGATATATGCAAATCACAATTTCTGGAAGATTGAGTGACATTTTGGGGGAAAGTTTTTTAAATTGTAGAAAAGACAAATTGAAATGGTAACTCCCAGCACTGTTCTTGGGTTTTCAAATACCGATACCTCAGAATTTTATTTTAAGGTTAACTGGGATCACACTTGTATACGTTCTTTTCCTGAAGTTGAAAGACTTACTGCTATAAACATTTTGAGGTAAGCGCAGTGTGACCAGCTGAGAGAGCACCGATTAAAAACATGGAGGAGTGTCAGATTCATACTACAGACCAGAATTTTTAGGAAAATCAACTATTACAAAACAAAAATCCAAACAGCAAAATTCTGTAATGTTGAGGTTAACATAATAGCTATTTGTTATGAAGTAGTGATTCAAGTTAAACACATCTTTTGGTGACCAGTATCCACCTCAGTATCAACATTTTGGCGTCTACACTTAAATTACAATTTTAGCACAGGTGCTTCATACCTATTATGGTAAATATTAAGATATTCATTACAATTCAATGAAAGTTTAATGTAAAACAACAGGACTACTTGCATCATTCACATGCTACACAGAAGGTAAATTATGCACTTTAATCCCAAATACCGCTTGATTGAATCAGCACAAAGGATAGTCTGAGAAGAGAAAAGGCACAGAAAGTGCCTCTTTTTCCTTCCCACAGTGCTTTGAAGCTACCGGTATTTGTGCAAAATCACTCAGGCGATATTTGCGATGAAGTCTCTGAGTGGCAAAGAAAATTGACAAATGACTCACCGACATCAATGATAGATTTCAATCTTTTGATGCTCTACACAACATTGCGAATCTCACCCTGTCATCCAGGATACATACACTAGGTAGGAGTTCTCTGCTTGGCCAAGCGCACATCCGAGTAATAAGTTCAAGAATTGTACCAGAGAATACTCCAGGCACGTGTGCACGGTCCAGTCAAAAAGTCAAAACCCTTCTGAAACCTAACCATAAACTACAAGAAAGCACTGGGACCTATCGGATCAGCCGGCCCATAAGGTAGTAACCAGAAACTCACATGTTTTTATGCATGTAGGTCGGGACCATTTTCACCCACTTATCACACTGGATCTGAGGGTCCGCACAAGAATAATCTCATTGTCACTGCTGAGGCTGCCATGGCAACAACACTTTGCTTGGCATACAGGGACAAACTCGCCAGGCCAATCTAATTGCTCCAGCTCCGAGCTCCGCGGCGGATTGGCTTTCCCTGGTTGTTTTATTTTTTTTTGTTTAGTACACAACACTGCCCCAGAATGTTTTCAGTTAGATCACAGAGCTGCAGGTCCTATGGTAAGATCAGTTTACAAAAAATGGCTTTGAAGACTTTGCGACTGGAAATTGGAAAATTCCAGGGCAAAATTAACTATGCGGCTGGATTAAAAGCCGATGACATGCAAAGGGCTCTATAACAACAATTAATGGGAACAAGTCTGGCATATCGGAAGTATTTTTTTGCTGATTTGCTCCAGTCAAGTTCCCACATGAATGCTAAAAACTTCCTAAATCATCAAGGCTATAATTTCTCTCATATAGGGGCCTACTTTTTACTTTCTTCAACTAATTAATTGTTTTCTCTAAATGAATTTTGAGCTACATGTACGAGCGTTTTATTTTAGCGGCAAAAAAAGAGCATTTTTTGGGGAGGGGGAGTTTGCTTTTGCACACAAATATAGATCTGCCTAAGTTGCAAGTAGACTGGTTCACCTACCCAATGACGTACTTTTTCTGGCAATCCCTCGGCAAATGCTCCAGTGTAAAACCTGAGTACACAGTGTTTGTAAAAATACATCGGTGAAGGGCAAAACCTAAAACCGAATTTTCATGACCCCGATGCATACTGTATCTTATGTACTATAACTTAACTTAGGCTGATTTATGCCGTCAGTGTCTCATTCAAAAGGTAATGACATTTGTACTGCTTGAAAAGTGATATATGCCAGGGCGAAACACAAAACGAGCACAAAAAATACTTGGAGCATTGGAGCAGGCCAAGTTTCAAGTCAGCAATTGATATCGGAAAGAATTTTTTTGGATCTCAACATGATAGCCAGAATTTACGAGTTCAAGATTATTTCAAGCTATTCAAAACATAAAACTTTTATTTCTTGAAGATTTCGTGCACGAGCGCTTTCATTGTATTTACGTGGAATACATAGAAATTTGCAAGTTTAAATTTATATGAAACTGAAACAAACAGCCTGTTAACTTACCATGCTATGCAGACTAAAGTCTTCAAAGATGCAGATTTTGACAATCCTGAATGACACATCAGTTTTCCACTTTCAAATGTTACAGCATACAAACGACTGTATACCGCCCCCATTGGCATCCATGAAACCCGAAGTAAACAGGTCTCAAAAGCTGATGTCAGTGCTGTTGACCCTCAACTAAATCCAGCTGTCACTTTTTTCGTTCTTGAAGCCTAGTAAAAGCTGACATTGCCAAGTTTTCTCTGAAGTCGTTTCATTTTGAGTGTCTACATGTGTCCAAACATCCTGAGTTGAAAACACTGAACATTTCAAGGTTGAATTTCCACTCTACATGTAGCTCATGTTTGGCACACATCTACCTAAAGTGGAAGATGGCATCCTAACCATGAACACTAATCCCTCAACTAATGCATTCTTCTGTAACATGTATGACAGCTACAGTATCTTGTTGTGTCCATAAATACACAGACATGACAGAGAGTTCCAAGGTTAGATCCACAATATCCAGGAATCAGTATATACTTCCAAAGTTACATTTACATTGAAGACCAGCTCAGGTTGCTTTCTTATGTGGTCAATCGCCTGACAACAGGATTAGCTCCATTGAGAGGTGTATACACAGTAAGCTTGTCACATGGATGACCATAGAGTAACAGCATACAGTTACATGTATATCATGTCCTAACCACAACACAATGGAGGGATTACCACCACTTATGTAACCAGTGTTGTTAAAGGGAATGTACAACATTTGCTTTTGCTGTAATTTTCAGAAATAAATGGATTTGGAGGATTAGTATGTTATAGAAAATATTGTTAAACTGACTTGTTTCACGTTTTGGGCTTGTAGACGCTGGAAAAACCAAGAAAACCTATCATATTCTTGTAGTCTGGTTGCCTGACCCCACTTAAAATGAAACAGAGCTGTTAATACACTTGGGGAATTGTAGGCTCAGAGAATCAGTCTAGCAGGTTTGTACCCCTTCACAGGTGTGTAATCAATTGCAAAGAAATGTCAGAATAACTAATTATGAAAACTTAGGAACAGTTTTTGAAAAAAAAAGCCAGTTTTTCCAACGCTGGTCAGCCGACCAGCGTTGGAAAAATAAAGTTTTTCTTGAAAATGTCAGCACACCAGGAGCCACGATTTTAAAGGATGATTTGGACTGTCAGTCCCTAACAAGTCAGTAAGGTATTTCGTGATAATTTGATCATTTCGTTTTTTGATGTTTGCAAATGTTGTATCTTCCCTTTAATGTCTAGCTGCAGGAGAGAAGCTCCCCACACAACGTACACAAATTATTGGCCAGTGATTAAATATCAGGGTACACTATGCCACCCCCTCAATTGTTTCTTGGAAAGGGGGCAGTATGGTAGGGTATGGGGGGGGGGGAGCTAGGAAATGGGGGTGGAATATTGTGACACTACAGGGGAAGATTAGAATTAAAGATGTACTTTCCACTCTCATCAAATTCAACTGTTTTCTCCTTATGAGTGTAAAAAGTTGTATGTTATGTTTTAAAGAAGACTTTTTTTAGTTTAGGCATCTGCAACTATCTGAGAATACCTTTATTTTTGGTCTGTAGATTATTGATCCTGAAAGGGGGAACCAGTCTAGCCTGCAAAACGTGATTAAAAATGTAGTTTTTGTTTTACGTCTCACTCAAAAGTGAATAACTTTTTGTATTGCAAGAAAAAATAAGAATTAAAGCGGTTGTGGAATGCTGAAAGTCGTTTTGTTTTTTATATTTTTTATTGTAGAGTAGACCCATATATATCATAATGACAAAGTCCCATTCTTTTGTAATGTGCGTTTGTATGTTTAAAAAACTGAAATTCATCGAGTAATTTGTTGGTCGGCGAGCGCATAATTGAAATCAACAGTCGTCGGGTTCTTCGTAAAATTAGAAAAATCGTGACGTAATAAACAGGACTCGTTTATGCTACGCTGCATCAGGAGTCCTGTTTATTACGTCACGATTTATTATGTTTTGTTTGCTGCCCCCAACGACGACTTTTACAGAAATTGCACGTTCGGGTCGAAACAGGACCTGAAAAACAGCTCTCAAAAGTACCTTTTGTACTCATTTCATGACAGACACAATAGTCGTTTTTATTTCATCACACCTTAGGCTACATATACCCAAAACATGACAGAAATGTCTTCGAGCATTCCACAACCTCTTTAACAAACAAATCCTCATAAGGGTCAAACTAAAAAAACAACACACGAACAACTATAACTGGAGCAGAGTGATGAAAAATAGAGTAAAGGGTATAAGACAATTAGGTCAAGGTCTATGATCTGAGGTTTTTGTTAGAGGAAAGCAACTGATAAACTCTATTACATGTACTGGTAAATGCAACGTGGTGAAGAGACATAGGTCCATAACGTCATACATGTACAATGTCTCAACTTGGGTGTTTAAAACTTAGAAATTAATTTTGTTGTCAAAAAATGTACATTTGTACATGCTGAGCCTTTTTTTATGTATATCAAAACTATTAGCCAGTTGTGTAAATGAGTTATGAATAAAAAAACCCCTTACCTGATATTGTATCCATTTTGAGTCCTTTGGTGGACACCATCATCATCTAGATCAAAGGGTAACGCTTGGACACCAACCTGTCGGCTGTTGGTTTTCAGTGTTCACAGATCCTGTGAAGAAAGTCCGTACCAGGAGCTAGCAGTTTATTGGTTCACATCTCCTCCAGTCCCGTTGGAATCCCTCTTGCCAGTTGAAATCCACATGCAAAAGGGAGGTTCCTAGTTCGAATCCAACTTGATCCTCAGTTTATTCGATTTTGGTACAACCAACAAGCAGAGTACTTTCAATCCTCAGTTTGGGGAAGTCAAGAATTGGGTCAAACTCTTGAGTCCTAACATAAAGTCATCAGTGTTGTTCTCTTCAACTATTTCCCAAAAAATGTCTTGCAAGCTCTACAAATCATCCCACACATGAAGGACGAAGGTTGTCCATGGTTCAAATCCACTTGATCCTTCTTTTTTTCCCTTCAGTTTATTCGATTTGGCACATCCTGCAAGCAGAGAGCTTTCATCTTCAATTTGCGAAAGGCAAGAACGGGGCACGGGTTTCAGTTCTAACATCAGTGTTGTTCTCTTTTTATTTTTCCACAAATTTTGGCTACCTCTTTCAGTCAATCATCACTCAGGTGAAGTAGTCATTTAAGCTTGTCCATGGTTCGATTCCCATTGAAGAGGATATTGGCTGGCTTTTCCTGATGCTGTCATGACTTCACTCAAATACATCCACACTGTTATTACTCACAAACGTAGGGTTTATCATTTGAAGTATGGCTGGGGAGCTATGCATCTCATTCCCGCGGCAACAATGTTGTGTTGCTGTTTGCAGAGTTTATTAAATTATGGGTATCCCTGAAGGTGAAACATTTCTCTGTTTGTTTTACGATGGAAATTGTAGAAAACGACTGGAGCAGTTTCAAGAGAGAACGTATGGAATGCAGTGTTGGTTGTCGAGTTGTTTTTCCAAAATTTATTTCCTGAAGTCACTCTGGCCGACAGCTTGTTGAATTCCACTGAGTAATTACAAAGAAATTACAAGGAATTATAGTTATGAAATTGTACATACATGTATATTGGATTGATTGGGGGAAAATGACAAATCCACGAAACAATCGGTGGAGGGTTTGAGGGTTGCCAAGGGCCGCAGAGTAGGGTCTATAGTATGTTTGTATTTACCTAAAGGCACCCCTTAAAATACCCATTTCTTTTGTTCCTAAACAAAATACAGCAAAACCTCAGGAATTCTAGATTTCAATTGGTTTTGTTTTTATCCTGAAATCAGGAACAATCCTTAAAGGGGCATTTCAGCCAGAAATCCAAAAATTGGTTTGCCGTAAAAACTTTGACCTTCAATTGGAGGGATTTAAAGTATGAGGAGTCAGATGGCAAATAACATGTTTTGGATTGTTTACTTATGAGGCATGCAACTGGGAATTTACAAAAAAAATGAGGAAACTCCAAACCACACAAGACTTTGTACAGTATTTTTCAATTTGTAATGTCATTCATGAGGAGTAAAAAAGGAGGAAATCAGCGGATCCGAGGAAAAGTTGCATGCCTGACATATACTATTTTATAGGTCTGGTTGAAAGGAAACAAACCTAATGTCCTATCGTTTTCATGAAAAGACACAAAAAAACGGTTGTTTACATCGTGCGCGACGCACATTTTGGGGCATGCATATTGGTATTTCAAGTCGTGTTTATTCAATGTATCATACACGTTGTGTGAAATTTGTTCTCGCATGGTTCTCGCAAGAATAACTCACAAATAACTCCACTTTTTAAAGGATGGTTGTGTGGACGTTTACATGTTGATTGTAAATGCTCTTGTTCAATTTAATATCATTTTGTTTAAAACGCGCTTTGTAGCCCAATTGGGCACATTGCAGGCCGTAACATCCCTTTAATATAATCCTGAAATATGCAAAAACCCTTTCAAAAAATCCTGAAATCAGCAAACAATCCTGACAAATCTCACCCCTGATCAACAAAGTATAGCTGACTGAAACTGGGGGAGTTAGCATTTCAAAGTGGTACAGCCCATTTTAAAAGTCATGATAAAAAAAAGAAGGGAAAAGAGAACATTTCTGCATTCATTTAAAAAAAAAAAAGGTTTTGGGAATAGCAGATATTGAAGAGTCACCATCGGTCAAATGTTAAACATTTAAGTGCATTGCACCCAAAATACAGCATTATCAAGCCATTACCTCCAGTTTAGTTCTGATAAAAAGCAATTTAAAGAAAGACTGGGTTAATTATCGGTGTTGCTTAAATAAAAAACATTGGACAAAGTATATGATTTAGAAATAAATTTCAATTCTGTATATCTACAGTTAGCAATGACACTGTTGCACCTGTCTCACTTTTGAAAGATTGTTTAAAATCAACATAAATTTCATTTTTATCCGCACACTTACAGTAATGCAGCAGAGATGTGGTTCTCCAGTGAGCTCTCTCAAAGGTTGATCCAAAAACGCTCATGGTATCTCCCCAAAATGAGAAAGAACAAATGTGACGCACCTATTTCACAGTCTGATTCACACAATATCGCAGCGACTTCTGAGGAAACGAAAAAATGAACCGATATTAAATATTCGGCCTACCAGCTACGGCGCAAGCTAACAAATCAATGAAGTTGCCAGGGTAAACCATCTCTGCCATCTATCCAACCGTGAAATGGACAATGTTCAATACGCCTTTGTTCAACTTTCCCCCGCTGCAACTGGGGCACGGCTGTAACGATCGGCCAGTCCAAAATGCCTTTCCATTATTTTTTCATGAATGGGAAGTTGACATGTGATTCCCGAATGTTATATGATAACGCCAAGGACAATTGTAGGGCAATCGATAGCTGGTAAAGATTGGTGGTGGTCGTGAAAGCGGACAATGGCACAATACAAAAGAGAAGTGAGAACAGGCTATCTAGATCCCACACGAAACTGAAAAAGAAAATCTACTATTATGAGGACAGTGTTTTAAAAGGATCAAGTTTGTACTTTGTTTATAAGTGCCAAAGAATTCTGGGGTAATTTTCAATGGATGAAGAAAGGTCAAGATTAACAAGGGGATCACAAAGTGAAAAAGGATACTTCTGTTAAACTTCACAGTTTATACCTCAAGGTTTTGTTTACGGGAGCAGTGTCAGGTATCAAACGTGAGTTCAAAGCAAGAAGTAAACATGTTGACTGAAAAGTGTTGAAAGGAACAATCTCATCTTTTCTTTTTTTTCATGTAAGAAACACCCTAAAGATCGGTGAACTTCCAGGCTCTTCAGGCACTTCAAGCTGGCCTAAAATTTGACATGAATTACGACTGCAGACTTGGGTGGAGACTCAAATTTCTTAAGAGACTCATCACCTACCTACCTACTTCTTCAAATTTAAGAAGTTGATTTATCAAACTTGAAATAGTGGGACAGAAAAACTCATGTGATCCTAGAGAAATTCATATGACTATAGTTCAGTGGGCAAGTAGTCTCATTGTCATTTTATACAGTCTGTACACCAGATAAATTATTCACGAGTGGATACTATTCAACGGCCATAGTAATACCAAACACATTAAAATTTCATTCATAGGCATTTCATGTCCGCGGCAAAGCTTTTAAGAGCTCAGTGAATAAACCCGAAAATGTACTTTTATCTTAAACGTCAATCATCTGGTAATTGTTAAGGAGATTACAGACTAGGAGTTTAGGATCATTTCTCTGCATCATTATTATGAGATATCTTGGTTAATTGGCTCTTGTCACAGACATTACCCTTCTTTTCATAATGCTGAAATTGGCCTCATGTGAAATGGTATCATTTTGAGGAAGAAAAGATTTGCCTCAAAAAATTGAAATCTCCATAATGCATTCGCTCACAATCTTGAAAGTGCACAGTTGTTTTACTTTTGATGGATCCAAAAAGAATGAAAATTTAAACTAGTTCATTTTAGGGATGGTTCTGGCCTTAAATGGTTAAAAACTTTAAATACTGAGAGTGCCCCAGAAGTTTTGACATTGTTTACTCATATACATATAAAAATGAACACTTTTAGGGAATTACGAAACAAAAAGATCTTGGAGATTAACCTCAGACTGTTTTCCTTATTCCTTGAGGCACTGGGACTAACAGTTCCATTGATTCTGAACCTTAATGGCATTAAGACCTTGCAATAAAATGATTACTAAAATGAATTATGTTATAGATTTCTAGGCTTACAGCTAAACTTGTGGAGCAGAGCAATAAGACACACACTTACCTCAATTTTTCCATGAGCCAAAAAAAAGTAAAAGGATCTCAAGTCTCATTTGGCCGCAAATGTTGGACTGTATGATGTTGACAGCATACTGCAAAGGCTACTGATTTCACTTCCTCAGTTACGGAGAAAATTACTTCTAGAATTAGAAGGCTTCTCGCCGTCAGCTTCTAATTCTAGAAGTAGAGAAAATTAGACCATCTTGTCTTCTTCTAAAACAGTTTCATCTCATCCAGATGGCTACATTCTTTTAAATTATACATTGAAATTTATCACCACAATGTGATCTTTATCAAAGGGCAAATACTAACAGGCTTTCCTATGGATGGCATTGTGACTTTATGGCACTATATAATTGGGGAAGTGAATGGTAGCCCATTATTACAATTTACCTTACTGAATAGTTCATTACATACATGTACCACCATTCATTACAGCGTTGTGTAATACCGGTAGTTAGTCTGGTTCCCTGTCCCCATTGTCCTTCGGACTTCAAATATGGGGACAGGTAGCTAGCTGTGAACCTGACTACATCAGGAGGCATTCTTCCTGATGTATATGCAAATTATATGCATGATGTGTACAGGTCTGAATCCCGCCTGGTGAATTCAAATTCACAACGGTAATGGTTGCGCGCAACCAGCGTATTGCAAAATGGCAATAGGCCGCACAACAAATGTGCAGTTTCCGAGGTGATGAGCTTTGCTTTTTGCTGAATTCGAAAGTGTCTCTGGCAAATATCAATAAAGAAGAGGGAAAAAACTGTTCAGTATTTAAAACCAATGCAGTTGAAATGCTTGAAAGTTGCCCTCATGGAGACACTGACGATATTGCATACTTTTTGTGGAAAGGCAAGAGGAGTTTTTTTGACAATCGTGTGTTCAATCACCGTCCATGCACAAAGCTAAGCAGCGATTCAAAAATAAACAATCATGATGCACGCGGAGAGGTGACCCAATCAATAACTTTAATAATAATGATGTGGTGCTTACTGTATATAGCGCTTTATACCAAAGGTGTCAAAGTGCTTTACAAAAATTATCCCCGTTCATCAGGCCACGAGACCAGTACTGCAGCAGCTCAATATCAGTGCATATGACCCGTACCTTTGCAGGTGGGATGCTAGCTACCGGTCCCCACATTTTTAGGGGGGGGGGGGGAACAGTCTAGTGTAATAGTTCGAATGAATTGTTCAGTGGAATAAAAAACAATTATACAGCTTTTGGATCCCAATAAACAGAACCATCAGAGCTGTGAATTAGAATGTTAAGAATTTTCAATTGTTACCAAACTTGTTTAATACATTTAATGATTTGCATCTCAAGCGCTCAAGGATTGGAATTATAATACCACAAGTTCTACGGTATCCCCTTGGTATTGGAAATGTGCATATCAAAAAATCTTGGGTACATTATACATGTACATGTACATGTACATGTATGTTGAGAATGAACATAACCAAGTGCAAGACATGCACTTCTTTTGTATTTATTATTTTTTTTTTTTTCTGCATGGTTATGAGATCAAAAAAAAATTGTGTGTTTACGATAACCAAACCTACCAGAATCTTATCTCAAACTTTTTATTGCCACACTTGGCCAAAAAGATACAATAAAAAATATTTATATATATTCTCTACACAAGTTTTTGAGTTATTTTTTTAGCTGCGGGATAGCAGCTCAACAAATCATCCTGTCTCTCCGTTAGTTCATTAGTAACAAACGTTGACATTGTCTATAGCTCCTACATATTTTGACTGATTTCAACCAAACTTTGTCAAAAGTATCAGTAGCCCAACCCCAACATTTCATATGACCAAACTGGGGTCAAAGGGTCATCATGGGGTCACTGGGGTCAAAAAACTTTTTTTTTTACTCAAAACACAACTCCTTTCAGAAATTACATGGCACAATCACGTGACTCATGCATGAAAACAAATTTGTTGGCCTGCAGCTTCCGAGATATTTCCGACCGAGCTTGTTTAATTAAACAGAATACCCTTAACAGTACCCTAAAGTAAACAAACTAAGTGTAAAAGACCGACAGACAAATATTTTAAAAAGTTACAAAATATTTTCTTACCATGATAATTCTGAGGGCATCACATTATCGTAAACACACACATTTTTCCTTTGGGGGGGGGGGGAGCTGAGGACAACAGTAGACTTTTCAGGATGAGGCTGACACCGAAAGCATTGCCGATGTTAGTGATTTCATAATAATTATATTTATTATTAAATTTACATATATAGCACCAATAAATTTTGAATATAAAAGGTGAATGTATTGGATCAATTACTCCATAACTTCATGAATCTACACAGGTTAAGAAAATACTACATACATTACATTGTAAATCACGGCCATTACATTTTGACATTAGCTTAACTGATAAACATGTTCTTGTTTTATGTGAGGCGTTCTGGATATATGAGACAGAACTGGGCAGAGGTCGAAATGGGGGTTTGCGAGTATTAGGAAGGAGAATAAAATACTCCTTACAATACTGTTTGTTGCCCTACAATCAGACATTCCATTGACAAGTAATGGCTGTTTAAAATCCGCATTTACCGACATGTCAAAAAGTAAAACATGTGTAGAGGGGTGCTGTGGTCCAATGGTTATGGTGTTTGACTCGTGTGCCGTGGTACATGGGTTCGAATCCTGACCATGGGAACATGGTGCTTGCGCTCCTGAGCAAGGCGCTTTACCATTATTGCTTCGTCCTTCGGATGGGACGAGAAGCCGTAGGTCCCGTGTGTTGTGTAATGCACGTTAAAGAACCCAGTAACACTTATCGCTAAGAGAAGGGGTTTGCCCCGGTGTTTCTGGCAGTGGCTGCAATATGTGCCGCAGCACCTTGTAAACCATTATAAAGGTGCTACAAAATGGTTCTCATATTTCTCATGTACTTCATTTACCTGTCTCTAATAATAGACATAATTTCCAGCGCCTTGAGTACCTAATTGTTGGTAGATACGTGCGCTATATAAGACTTCGGTATTAGTAAACATATCAGAGATTACAAATATCGCTAAATCTGAAAATTGAAAACAAAATCACCCCCCCAAAAAATCACCACACCCCCCCCCCCCTTCAGGTTTTTTTTTTTCATTTTCTTTTCTTCACTTTAGCTATGGCCTGTGTCTATTTCCATCTCATTTTGCCAGAACACGTCACACATAGCATAACATGTCATTTTCTCGTGAATTATATGTACGTTATACATGTACCTGTTTATCGTGAATACACCAATACAACATGTTATTTTACATTAAAAATACTCTATTACATAAAACTGTCAAAAGAAAGCTGATCATCGATTGATCTTTCAAAAATCCAGCAGTTTGGGCTATGCTTCTCCAAAAAGCAATGTTATGAACAGAAACTAAACAAAGTGATCGTGAAACGGATTGGCTCTTAACTTCGATTGCTTCTTTCTGTATGATCTCTTTAACTGCTGTCAAAAGGATTGATAGGCTTGCTTGGATTCCTGGGCTTGCTCCTTTTGCAATCGCAATTTCCTCAAGTGTTGTTTGGGTTTCGGAATAAACAATTCACAAGACGTCTTTTTGAGGATGTTAGCTTTTTGAGGATGCTAGCTAGCCACTTTCTAGAAACAAGATAAAGTTTCCACACTGCTGACATTAAGATGCTTTCATGTATAAATCAACTGTCTGTCCGCTGCAGTCAATTTGGGCGGGAAATTTTTTTTCTTCAATTTTCTTCCCTTTTTTCAGGAGGGAAAACAATTTATTACCAATATGTGAAAATGAAGCACTTGTACTTCTCTGCTTAATGACATCCATTTCATGATACACAATACACAAGTTGTATGATGTCTATCTCTTTGAGTGAACGGATTTTGTGTAATACGTTATTTTGTGTGTATTTTGTCAGTTTACGTATTTTGAGTTGACACCATTAGGTCCAGGAACTACTTCAGGGGGAGATTGGGGGAAATGAAAAATCCATGAAATAATCGGCAGGGTTTGGGGGCGGCTGATGGCCTAGAGCAATTAATGTAGGGTCTATGGTATATATTTGTATTTGCCTAAAGGCGTCATTAAAATGGAAATGAAAAATCCATGAAATAATCGGCAGGGTTTGGGGGCGGCTGATGGCCCAGAGCAATTAATGTAGGGTCTATGGTATATGTTTGTATTTGCCTAAAGGCGTCATTAAAATACCCATTTCTTTTGTTATATATAGGTAAAAAGACTTTTATGGTAAAATCTCACAAATTCCATATTTCCAAAAAGATTTGTTTATCCTGAAAAATCTCACCCCTGCTACTTGTCTGTACCTATACGTTCTTGTGGTGTAATCACAATTTCTGTGTTTCTAATTATTGTCGCTGAAATTATTCTGTGCGAAAGTTAGAAATCAATAACGGAGGTATAGTTATTGCAATATGATGTCAATCAGTGTGTGTGAGAGTGTGCAATACTTATTCAGTGTTATGAACCTTCAAGTGGTACCAGAAAGGAATGGGAATTCATATTTAATTACGTAAAACATTTAACAAAGCCTTCATGCATCATGTATCTGTTTAAATTTGAGCCAACACCTTGCAAAGAATGTTGCCTGCAATGTGTGTGTAGCACATACGACGACTGATCTTGGCCATGTTGGCCTGGCAGTGTATTGAAAACATCAAATCCAATATATACACAATGTTTATCATGTTATCATGGGTGACTCGAACATTGACACATATATTAACTTCCCGGGATGTTGTCAGCGCTTAGGTGCTTCATATGCTTTGTAAATTACATACGTCAACAGATATCCTTGATTCTTCGTAAAATAAAATAATGCTTGAGACTACCGGTATTATTCACTTACAGTCAAGTAGGCCTAAGGTATTTCATAATAATTTGGTGTTTTCTTGTTTTCTGATGTTTGCAAATGTTGTATATTACCTTTAAACATTTGGGGAAATTTCTGAATATTGAAGATTTCTATTTTATGACTGAAATGTATAAATGTATAAATGCTAAATCCACAAAATACAGCAAAATTGTTGTGGAAGGGGACCATCAATAAAGGAAACCATGGAAATTGAGATCTAATCAGCTGCATTTAAAAGAACTGATTAAAAAAGGACTAGTGGCATAGTAGTGCTATATCTCCCTCATTTACAAAATTTGGAATACTTTTTGGCATAATTTGAATTGTAGACAGTCTCAGATTTATCAAACATCAATATTGTGTGATCATCTCTTCCAATAGTTTGTACCTCGCCAAAAGTGAGTTGTAGACCTGTAGAACAAACCAAATATATAGGACTATCTCAAAAACGGTCTTATTACATTCCGTATTATTTGTTTAACCCTAACCGCCCTGAATCCTTCAAAATCCTCTTTGCCAAAGTGGAGGAAGTTGAAGGATACTTATTATAGTATTGTTTTGGGATACAAGTATACCACTTTCTGAATGAACGAATGTCAATTGCTGGTATTACAGACATGACAGATGGATTTTTTCTCTTTTTTCTGCATGTTTACTCAAGGGCAATTCCGTGAAAATGAATGTACATGTACATGTATATGTCAGACACTTTAACCCTCCTGCTGTCTGTACATTCACAGACAGTCAAAATTAATCAATCCTCTTCCCCTGCCATGCCGTTTACACAGGCTAGTCACCAACAGTCAGATCATATTTCAGGCAAGTACTGTGACTAGTCAAATTCCGTCAACAGACAAAAGCAGACAAGTGGAAGGCCCAGCTGACTTATCAATCACCTACAGCATAGCTGTATCATAGTTTCATAAACAGTCACAGCCAGTCAGTCCTGCTTCATGTAGGCTGGGAGCTCTTAACTGTTAACAACAGTCACTTGATTGATTTTGACTGAAAGGATAACTTTGCACAGAATGATGTTTGCACAGGAGAGTTAATGAGCTGGTGTTGGAAAACATCACTAATTTGTGACATCTAATGAGTAGAAAACAATTACAGACGAAGGTACCACCACCTTAAAGGTACAGTCCATCATTTGTAATTTGTGCATTTTGTTTGTTTGAAGCAACAAACGTGCTCAAAATCTAAAGAAGGGTGCTGAACGAGTTTCAGTTCAGCTTCAGCTGTTATTTTGAGAAAAACAGCATTCTAGGATCTCCATTTCAAATCAAAAGTTGCTGAATCATGTTTTGAATTGGGCCTGAATTCAGCGGCCAAGACACGTTCTCACTGAGCCGATTGCAGCTACGCGATGTCGCGCACTGATCCGACGAATTACAGCAACCACGCGCGCGTGTGCGTCGTGTCAACGCTTGCGCGCCTCGCCGAATAAAAAAACAAATTGCTAACGGATATTTCCAACGGAACGTCTTAAGACGCACCGTTGGAAAGGCCTTCTTTCGTTGATTCCTTCAAAATGACAGCTTGCCAGAAAGAATAATTTCACAGGGAGTTTAGTCCCCTTACTATCTTTCGACCAAGTATGCTTTTCAACAATAATTGCATGCAACTTTTGATCGGCGTGGCACGCAGTTGCAGCTGGAAGTTTTGAATATCCGAATATTTGGTCAAACAGTTTCAAGTAATCGAATACTAACTTATTCCAAAATGGACAGCCCTAATTAACAGAGTGATTTTTCAAAGACATGGACACAAGGAATAACAAATGTTTACATTTACAAGACATGTATTTTTTTGTTTTGGCATTAGGATTTCAACTGAGGTTTCAATTCAAACAAACAGTTGTGATTTGAAGTTTAAAAAATAATAAGGTCACACTGCCGACACTAGAAAGAAATTTCAAGACTGTATGATGTATGTTAGTAAAGTTGTCAACCAATGCACTTCAATATATTCAATTTGTTTTCTCCTGACGATTTTGTATGTTTTGTTTAAACGGAAAAAGCTACTTTTTTTCCTCTTTTGGATGTTTCAACCCTTTGAAAATTCACTTTTAGTTTGCGTAGCTTTTGCACCCATACCACACAAAAGATATGGCTGAATATTGTCTGGTCACAATAATTCAAAATGTGTACAATAAATATTCTATGACTAAACATGGGCAGATTTTTTTTCATTGTCTCATTCGAAAGTGAATTCCTTTTGTACTGCTATAAAAATAGCAAATAAAAAAACAAATCTTTTTTTCGGGGTACAACTCGAAAACAGTACTGGGAAAGTACTGACATAAATGACAACAACAAAAATGCCCTTACCTCTTTTGTATCTTGGTTAGGCATGGCGGCTAACTTGTACTCTGCAGGAGACGCGTTGACGACGTCTCTAAATGATACCACGTTATCACCATGGAAACCTGAAAGGTAAAAATTGGAAACCTAAACATCTCAGCTCAAAGCGATGTAAGGGATGTGCTGAAAGGACCCTAGTATTGCTTGGAGAACAACGCCCTGGCATAAAGGGTAGAAAGTAATATAAATTCTTCCTTTTTTTAGTCTTGCCAAACTCAAACAAGACTCAAGCGCAAAACACTTCACTATTGCTGAGCAGCAATTTACCCCTCCTTTTCTTTGGTCAGTCACAGACAGTCAAACATTCAATCCTGTTCCCCTGCCATTCCTTTTACACAGGCTAGTCACCAACAGTCAGATCATATATCTTGTCGGCACTGTGACAGTCAAATTCCGTCAACAGACAAGGGTAGGTGACTGGTAGGAACAGTTGGCCCTACCAAAAAAAGGAGTTTACAGGAATTGAACTGGCATCACTAGCTATGCGGTAGAGCCTACCGATACTTGCCAACAAACTACGAGATTGGCATGACATTTCTTTAAAACATTATAAAGTTGTTTAAATCCTTTAATGGCGCCCTCTGTTGTAATTCCGTGAACAATCCTTGGGGAAAAAAAGCAGTATTGGGGATCGCCGTCCATGCATAAATATATGATGTTCTATAAATATGTGGTCCACTTTTTTCCTGTCCCTATTACATCTGACATCTATGACTTTTGATGCACTCCTTGATGCAGTCTAGTCTATGTAATAGATCATGGCGAAAGCCATGGTCTATTACGCGTGAACAGATTCGCTGATTAATTAGGCAAGACCCCCCTCTTGACCTCCTAGATTTTGACCAATCAGCGGGCGCTTTCTATATCGGGTCTTCGGTCATTCACCCGTTGCGCGTCATAGAAAATGGATTTTTAAAAATGTGTCACGCGCTCTGCATCATGTTACGCGATATCGCACCCAGCTGTTGTTGTATTACAAAAAACTGCATTCGAATTGACCAATCACACCATTTAGTCCTGATTTGGGGATGAAATGACGTCACGATTTAGTAGAGTCGACTCCAATTGGCTGGCGCGCGGCTTGCATATATCTGCATGTCTAGACATATCAGACGTTATACAGGACTTGGCTCCGTGGATAACGGGTGATACTCAGTTTAGATGCAGTCATCCTCCAAGAGTGATTAGGCCAAAAAAAAAATAGTTCTGCTTCCGATTACATGCCTTTCAAAAATAGGGTCGGTCGGTTGGAAATTTTTTTTTTTGGCCAATTTTTTTATGCAGATTGAATGGGGTATTCAATTATATGCGAAGTTTTAGCCTGAACTATTTCTATTGCACTACGAAAGCTATACACGAAATGGCAACAAAAAGTGAGTAAAACCTACCTTTAATTATTGTCAATATATTTCAAAAAATAATGGAAAATTCAGGCCGTTCGCACCATATGCACAACGCTAGTCAAGACGCGGGGAGCTGGCCAAAACTCCGAGGTGTGTAATGCGTGCGTGTATGGCGAGCGGCCCACCATGGGCCGTCAGAGCTGTTTTTACCGTCAACAATTTCGGGAAACACGCGGCATGTATCACTCCAAATACGAGTAGTGCGATCTCAAAATGAACTCCTGAACACAGAAAATACATACACAGACAAGCTAGATCAATTCTGTAAATTAACTTGCAAAAATGTTCTTTCTCCATCGGTGTTTTCTTGGCATTTTTACGATGTCGAATCCGACCAGTTGACAGTGGCCTGCACTGTACTGATAGCGCGCTATCGGTCACATAGCTAGCTATGGACTGGTTACCGCATTTTCATTATGTCTTCTAAATTGGCCCCTGCGCGGCGCGGCGGGAACCAGTCGTCGCCACGTGATTATAGTCACCGTGCGTGACATCGAATTGCGAAGTAGTTATATCGCGAAGCGAATTTGTAATAACGGAGGTTTCTTTGAAAAAAAAGCGAATGTAAGTAAGAAAACAAATAAATACAAGCATTTTTGGATGCAAAAGGGTTGTTGAGAGGTATTTTGTGAAGACAGAAAAGACAGATTTTATTTGTATTTATTCAATTTTTGTGTGTGTGTGTGTGTGTGTGTGGAATTGCCGATAAAATTTTTAGGGTCGCAGCCTAAAAATAGGGTCGGTCGGGTAACCGGAAGCAGAACTATTCTTTTTTTGGGCCTTATTAATAGCAATTTATAAAAAAAAATTCAAAGTCATTACAAAGTACCAATGTAACAGGGACAGAAAAAATGTCACACTTTGGACCCCATATTTACAGAATGACCCATTTCTCTTTACCATGCTTAGCTCGGTAGGCGCATCCCAGACAAGCCGAGTTGGCGACATCCAGGACGTAGACTGGAGCATTGAAGACGTCAGACAGTACCTGCAGGATGGCACGGTTGGATGAGGCCCCACCAGTGGCTAGGACCCGCGATCCCTGCTCTAAAAAAAAAGGGGGAAAAATACACGACCTTGTAAGATAAAAGTTTTTAATTTCAAAATATATAAAACTGGATACAACAGTGGCTTTGAAGAAAACATGTTGCATTTCATTAGGGCGCTTAATTTTACATACTTCATTCAATACGGACATATGGGTACGACATCCCGGGCCAACATGTATATTCAATAGAGCCTATTAGCAAATTTATAAGCTGAGCATAAGCTTTAAATTGCCAAAAGGAATCTTCAAAAAGTTTTAGCTTTTACAGTTCTTTATTAAGGGTACAGCAAGAAAAATAATTTCTGAGCTCAATAAAAACTTTTAAATTACATGAAAATTAAAGGCAAATTTAACCTTCTTGCTGTTTAAACATTCACAGACAGTCAAAATGCACTTCCACTTCCCATGCTATACTTTTAACACAGGCTAGTCACCAGTAGTCAGATCATATGTCACGCAAGCATTGTGACTAGTCAAACTGGGTCAACAGACAAAGCAGGCAAGTTGTGGTCACAGCTGTTTTATCACTCAGCCGGAGTCAAAGCATAGCTGTATCAAGTTATACTTAAGTAGTCCAAGGCAGTCAATCCTGCTTTATGTAGGCTGGAAATTCTTAAGGGTTGAAAACAGTGATTTTGACTGCAAGGACAACTTGGCACAGAATTTATGTTTGCATAGGAGGGTTCATGACCACAGCAACCTCAAACAACTTGACTTTAAAACCAATTAATTTGAAAATGAAGGCTGCATCTAAATTCGTTGGCTACGTCCAGCAGCAATGCTAGGTTCACACATTCCCGATTTTTAAGCCGAATCGCCATGAATAGCATTTCTTGAGTAAATTGGGGATGGTTCTTGCTTGCCTCAGGATGATTCTGTTCATTCGGTGAAAGATTGTTAAAAATCAGGAAGCGCCCCGACAAATTTGAATGCGTTCAAAATTGTGGGGTTGTTTCGGGAACCAATTTTCAATTCTTTTGTTGTATTTCATAACTAATTCGGGAATGTGTGAACCTAGCATTACACATGTGTCTATGAGATGTGGATTGTGCCACTTCTGTGGGCTCCGTGCACAAGTACCCCCTCAATGGTAAGAAAGGGAGAGTTGGGGGACACCACTGGGAGAGACATTCCAATGCATTGGTAGCAACGCGCGACACTCATTCAGAATAAAATTAGTCCTGCGTACTTCATGCGTACGTAATGTTCACAACACTGCAAAGCGCATAGCTTTTAATGTCTTTTAAAAAAAAAAATCAAATGTGGTTATTGAACACAATCTACTGGTAAAGTGGCTTGCAGTTAAAGGGTTGGAGCTGAGACACTGACAAAGTCAATTTGACTTCAACTGAACTTTCACACCAACAAAAAAACAGAAATTGTATCCATCAATTTTCATTCCCTTGACCACTCACAACAAAGAAAAGGATCCAAAAAAAATAATTATGCTGGTTTTACGTACCTTGAGCAAGATCTTGTGATATTTTGATAGAATTAGGAGAAAGTAGTTGTGTGAGTTAGACGCACTCTAGAGACATGTGACATGCATGTCCATCAACGGGATCAAAAGTTTTTCTGTCATCCCCTCCCTTTGACTATCCAGTGTGCAAATTGGTATTAAGTCATGAAACTTAGCACAGATGTTCTTTAAGCCGCCCTCAGGTCAACCTTGCGATAACATAGATCAGTTGGCGACTGACTTTTCAGGATCAAGCTGTGCCTGAGCCACGACTGCCGAGAACATTTCAGTCACCGATTTTTTGCGACCCGAGTATAACTGCGACAATATCAAGACGATTGAAATCAGTCGGCGCTAAAAAAAATTAACAACAGCAAGAATAGAAAAAATTCCAACTTCTGCACGGCGACGAACATGTTCCGAACAGGCGGGAATCAATCGCAGTCAACCTGTGTGAAGTTACGATGTCGTGCGGGGATCATCTAAATTGATTGTGAATCGTCGTCCTCTCGTGGGTGACATGAGCATGGTTGCGATTATTCTGTGGCCAGATGCCGCTTGTTCCGAGATAATCACTCTGTTTCTCAGTTTTGTGACCTGAGAATGAATATTCTGCTTGATGCCGACGGCTCTGTCCTGGCACAAGCAATTCACAGGTCGACCCGAGGCCGGCTTTAGGGTCAATTTGTCCCGACTTGTTAATTAGACTGAACCTAGTTGTGACCCAACACATCAAAATGAGGCACAAGTTGCCAGAACTATTTCTAAATAATTCGCCTTCTAAACGGATCTATATCTTTAGGAATAGTCTAGCAAGAATCCAAAACAGCTTCTACACGGGTCTGATGTTCTACACGGGAAAAATCCAGCCTTGGTGGGGACCAGGGTTGTGAGGCTCTACGCGGATAGAAAATCCACAATCTACAGCCGACACGTGTACACACGCCTTCCCTAACCATGTTTGATAGGACAGGGGCGTGAAATCTCAGCTTTAAAGCTGATTTCAGCTTTTTTTGTTTTGGATTTCAGCTTTTTTCCCTCATTTGCTGTGTACAAAAGGATAGGAGATTTCCAAAGTTCAGCTGTTTTACACCTTTTTTAGCTGTTTTCAGCTATTTTTATCAATGGTCAATCACACCCCTGATGGGACCTGGTTCCGCATACAGTGAACCCATGTTGATTGCAACACGGGTAGGTGAGACGGTAGTGTGAAAAAGCCTCATGTCATTATCTTCATTCTTATTCGCCTTAAGTCTTCCATAAAATATCTGCAAGGTTTGACTCGCTTTGGATTCAAGATGACCGACTTGCGAATTAATAAGTGATATGCAGTATCCTTACCAACAAGATAGCCCAGGTTCTCAGCGTGGAGTCTCTTGGCCAGGAACTGAGCCTCCAATAAGGCCCGGACTTCCACTGCTGGCTGGAAACTCTCCACCTGGTCATTGTTGGAGTTGTAACGATAGACACCGACTGCCGATGGGGTGATCTCTTGCACATCAAAGTAGACACCTGAAAATGTTGCGACAGGCCGTAAGGTAAGTCGTCATGATCTATTTGTCATTTTAGCAACTTCCAACTAGAACTATATGGTTGTATATGAAAGGGTTATTTGAGAAACGTGTGGATTTTCTGGCTGGACAGTGTAAAAACAATCTTTCATCTTTTGAGTGTGGACACTGACCTATATTGCCATTATTGCCCGGCGGGGTGGACTCCAGAAGACGATTGAATGTATCCCACGATCCCATGCTAAACTCATTACGGATGCGCTCACGGGTAAGGGAGCCATTTTTAAAGCTGCATAAAAAAGAAGTTAGATACAAAGTTTGTTACACAAGTTTAGAAGCATACCTATTTGCCATTTAGCTCTACTTTAGAAAAAATCTTAATAGTAAAGATTTGTTATTGAATACCAAAATATAAAAACCAAAATTTAGTTTGAAAACTAGTTTGGGAACTTCAAATGCACATTTCTATAAAAGCAATCAAAATTAAATTTGGAGTATACATTCATCACTTGGCCTAATATATTTATATACATTTTCCTCCATATTCAATGTATGAAAGGCTTTATCTCAAAATAGGGCCATGCAACTTCCAACAGGTTTTGTGCTGGAGAGTCACACATGTTGAAAACGGGAATAACAGAACAGATGCCAAACAACGGCACCAATACAACTTAGCAATGAATCACTCACCATAATAGAGCCATGTACGCCTGCACGTCGACAGGATTGACAAATATGTGGCCTTCCAGGGCGGGACGTGGGGTTTTCAGCCATAGAAACAATGTGTCGCTCGTGCCGAGACTTACCTGAAGAGTTGAGCATAAAATTAGAAATACTTTTTTGTTTATGATTATGCATTGCTTTGGCTTCTTTCGTTATAAAATTGGAATCACGTATATGTACTCTTTTGTCAAGTTTAAAAACAGAAAATATTTTAAGCATATATCTTCCGTGATCTCTGTTTGTTGAGGAAAGGCCTCTCAAAAAAATTTGGCGAACTTGTTAACCAATGGTTCATGCGGCCTTCTAGTCTCTCTATTAAAGGGAAAATACAATATTTGCAAACATCAAAAAATAAAACTACCAAATCATTTTGAAATACCTTGCTGGACTGTTACTGTTAGTGAATGACAGTGTAAAGCATCCTGTAAAATCAAGGCACCTGGTATACTGTCATTTTCAAGAAAAGTGGTATTTTTGTATCAATTTCCAACGCTGATCGGCCAACCAGCGTTGGAAAAAACTGGCTTTTTTTCAAATACTGGCCCCAATTGACCATCGCACTTGTTTGCAGTCGATTACACACCTATGAACGGGTACAAGCCAGCGAGACTGGTTCCCTGACCTTACAATTCCCCAATGTATGTAAACTGCTCTGTTTCTTCTTAAATGGAGTCAGGGAACCAGACTACAGGAAAATGATTGTTTTTCTTGGTTTTTATAGCATTTTTGAACCCAAAACCTCAAAAAAGTCAGTGTAACTATATTTGCTATATATTTCCAACCCCCCAATTCCATCCATTTCTGAAAATTACAGCAAAAGCAAATGATGTATATTCCCTTTAAAATACATTGAAATTTTAAGGCCTGTTCTAGATGCTACTTCCGCACCGAACTTAATTGAAATGAGTGGGGCAATAGCTCGTCTACAGCACGGCAGTTGCTCTAAACTTCGAACGTAATAGTCGAACCTTAATGCATCTGGAGTAATGGGCCAGGCTCAAGCAGTTCAAGCAGTTCAATGAACTTTCCGCGCAATCAAACTATTCGTGCCAATTGCATTCCCTGTGACGCAGATGCGAGGGAGGGTATTGTGAGCATGCGCATTTCCAAAATGTTTGCCCCATCTTCAAATTGAATTGAGTTTGGCACGGTAATGGCACGTCATTTAGAACAGTGCCATGCCACTGCCATTCAGAATGACGATAGCGCAGCAGCCCTGTCGAGCCAAAGGATGGTGCCGTGCCGCACTCAATTCGCCGAGGCCAAATGGTTCTGAACACCGTGCTATCGCCATGCCAAATTCAAAGAAGTTAAAATAATTGAGTTTGGCACGGCAGTAGTACGCCCTCTAGAACGGGCCTTATTCTGATTCAAGTTCTGGTAAAAAGCTGCCTTATGACCTATATGTATACTATGGTATTTTAAATTAAAAAAGAAAATTTAAAACATTTGAGTCAATCCGTGGATATTCTATCATAATATAAAGTCAAACTTACAGCAATATCACCCTCTTTTAATGCCATTCCGGCTAAGGATGCTGGAAAGAAGGAAAAAGTACAATAATCAGTTACACATTACAGCAAAAAATCTAAAGTGGACGCCAACATTTTTGCCTGAAATTTCAGGTGTCGAGAAAAAGTATGCACACATGTATGGTGCCAATAATTTATAATTTGAAAAAACCCTGAAATCAGGCAATTGCAGGAGAACTTTCGTCCCTTTCAAAGTGTTCTCTGATCTCCCTCAAGGGGCTCTTGAAAGTGGTCAAAAATTGCCCACCCCTTAAAATCATAATTCCTAAAGTCCTGCATTTTTTTTAAAAAAAAGATGACACTTTTTGAAAATGTAAAAAGTACACAAGATTAGTACTGCAGTGTACCTGGGTTGTCGCCTGTGAATGCTATGACCTGACACTCAGCAGAGAAGCCATAACGATCAACAAAGTATGGAGATATTGCACCCTTTAAAGATAGAAGTCAACGGGGGTTAAAAATGTGGGGTTACAGAGAGGATCTAGCTTTCAGGAAACGGGGGTGGTGGTTGGGGTTGGTATGAGGGGGAAGGTGAGTGAAGGCTTGCGGAAGGCACGCCCTGCTAGGGATCCAGGGGCTTGTCCCAATGAAATGTTTCGATACTTTCCCCCCGCATTCACACTTTGTGATGCTATCAGGCTAAATGAGTCGTTTGTCGGGAATTTTTATTTGGAGATTCAGGCCAAAATAGGACCACTTCGTCACATCACTTCATCACATTTCTTGGTGTTCCGACTTCCATCATTTTTGAACTAAAGATGGCACCAGCATGCGGTTTTAACAGCAGTAATGCTAAGATTGTGATTTTTTCAAATCTGTATAAAAAAAAATTGACCAGGGTCGACTAACGACTCAATTAGCTTGATCGCATCACATTTGATTTAACTTGAGCATTCCATTTGTTATTTCTGACTCTACTCTCCTATAAAATTTGTCAACAGCTGAATATGGGTTGCAACCCCCCCTCCCCCCCCCCCCCCCCCACGTGGTTAAAAATGCAGAATAAACGCACTGTTTAGAATAATATATCAGGAATTTACTTCTATTCCTTTTAATTATCTCTTTTCAGTTTTTTTTTTTGAATTATCAAATTTAACTAACGTTCCCATTGTTTTCACTTAAATGGTATTGAACCGACTATAATAGCTTACTTTTCAACAATATTGCAAATTGTTTCTTGTTTTTTTGGGGGGCACTGTATTTCTATTTACAACATTGTTATCTCATCTTGTTTTCTGTTGTAACCCAGGGCTCCCTGGGAAAATGGGTCAATAAACTGATGAAGCTAGCAATGACAAATAATACACTGATTGCGGGAGCATTTTAATCATCTATTGCTCTTACCAGATTTGTTGAAGACGGCACAGGTGGACCTAGTAGGTTAGCTAGACCGGGTGCACAGGCGTCCAGCGCTTGTGGACACCAGCATTTGCTTCGTATATCAAGAAGATTCATCCCCGACCCTGAAGAATAAAACATCGACAGATATAGTGGTGCAGGCAATTAGAAAATTCCGGACGATAACATTTACATATTTAAATGTTCAAAACCCCCCAAAAAACTTAATGTTTTACAATTTACTGTTTTTGCAAAACTTGGACAAATATGGGGGGGGGGGGGGACGAACCTGTGTTCACAGGAACGGAGTGCCCATCTCTCTTTCTTTAGCGATTGGGCCAGACTCATAAGCTGCTGTGGGGGATCGCCACACCTCCTCCACAGCGAGTCTGTTACCTTCCCAGCATTGAATAGTGCCGGTACCCATTTAACACCTGGGTTGAGAGGAGTAATTGAGGTAAAGCGCCTTACTCAAGGGCACAACACGCATGGCCATGGCGTGAATGAATCCTGTGCTCTACCGCTAGACCACGCGTCCCACAAATATGGGACAATCTACTATGAACACTGTCCAAAAAAAAATCAAAAATTATAAAATTCTTCATTGAATGCTTCTATTAACTGTGTAACTTACCATCACTGTAGTCTATTGGTGCATAGCTGCCTAGGAACAAAGAGGCTGCAAAACTACTCACTAGTGAAATTCGCTGCACAAAAACAAAAACGAATCCTCATGAAAACCTGCGATATTTTCCCCAACGTATACATCAAAGTCAAACTTAAAGTTTAAAAGCTAAAATCAGTAGGGATAATAAAATATTAGTTATTGCAGTAAAGAAATATAGAACTGAGTGGACACTAGTATACTTTTTTTAATCACTCACCTCACTAGAACTGTAAGCTGCTTGATTCTGTTGGTGGATTTTTGCAATCTGGTTTCCAGTTAAGCGCTGTTGGGATTTTATATTATGATTACATTTGTATAAAAAAAAATTAAAAGCAATTTACAATGCAATGTCAAGTATGAGAATGAAAAAATGAAGTTTAAAACTGATACATTTATTTCATTTTAACTTGATGGTTTGGAGTGAAATGGAGTCAAGTTCCACAATTGCAAGAAAACAACTTTTTTGCAAAATTTGAAATATAAAATAATGAAAGATGAATGATACAGAGAAAATCAAAATCATTCCCAAAGGCCCCCCAAAAAAGTCTCCGGTTTCTGTTATGGAGCTTGCCCCAAAAGTGGTACGGCGACGCAGCCTTTTTTTTTTTTTTTTTTACCGTTTTTTTTCTTCAAATGTCGGCTGATGACTGCAAATGGTGCCCGACTAAACTTGGTGCAAATATATGGGAGTCCTGAGAGGCCACATAAAGCTTATACTCGATCGTAACCCCATCTAAAAACATTGTAACCCCATCTAAAAATTGTGCAGCAGCAGGATTCCAGTCACACCAGTGAGTTTGGCGGTTTCTTTCATTGAATTTTTTTTTTTTTCATTTTGCCGACGCGCATGGCTATGGCGACACGCGCATACCAGATACCAGAAACTTTTTTTTTGGCCTAAAGAGACACAAATACAGTTGATGAATAATCATGCCTTTTTATATTGTCATAAGTTCAATGTATCATTATGTTTGGTAAAATTTGCTAAACTGCACAACCAATGCAAAACTTGTAACTTATTTTTTGTCATCCATCTGCACAGGGTAGAGTAAGCACACAGGTATGTTTGGTTTGATTTTTTTCCCAACTCATTCCAAATATAGAGAGTACAAGACCCATTTCAGACAAGGGTTCCTGCGTTGCAGCAAAACAAAAAGAAAAGTATCAGGAGTGACTCTTCGCCCCAATTAGATTTTGGTCAAATTTGTTTAAGTCACTTCTAACTGCTTCAAATGTCAAACTTAATTTAAATCTTAAGAATAACTTGTTTCGACACAACTCTGAAACCGATGTCTGAAAAAAACTTAAGTCATCCAATAATTTGTGACTTTGGGCATAATCCCTGGTTACATGGCATGTAGGGTCAATGGTTTCTGACTAGCGCCTCTTGAACAAAGACATTTGACTAAATGGGGAACTGCCAACATCGGGCTGGATAGCTCAGTTGGTAGAGCACCGGAACGGCAATCCCGAGGTCGCAGGTTCAAACCCTGCTCCAGTCAATTTCTTAGCTCAACTTTTAAAATATCATCCAATAATTAATTGATTTTTCAGCCTGATGATCACAAAACCCAAAGAGGAAGCAATCACCTCGTAAGCCCTGGACCCTGTGATGTCAGCCACACGCTGAGGGCCTCCCATCACCCCTTCCAGGTGACGGCACTGGGCAGTGGTGCTAGAATCCATCCACACGGGGGAGTCATTCACAGCAAAGCTGTCCTGAACACATAATAGATCATAGAATTTCAGTTAGTGGATGAGTCAACATTAGGTTTTGCCCTGCACCGACGTGTAAACACTGTATATGCAGTGTGTTACCTCCCGAGTGAAAGTTGTGGATGAAGTGGATGAGCTTCACAGTGTGCCTCTAACCATGTGCCTTGGACAGCCCAATATTCAACTTTATTATCGACTGCCACTGCTTATGTAGTCCGAGTATGATCCGTCGTTCAATAGAGCCTGCTCTGTATTCAAAGTCTGGTATATGTGAGCATGCAAATGTTATGTGACCCCGCGCGCCAGCCAATCGGAGTCGACTTGAGAAATACGGACTAAGCTATTGATTGGTCAATTTGGCTGCCATGTTTTTGTAACACTACAGGTTACCAAAGACCCGGTAGAAGGCACGCGCTGTATGGTCAGAATCTGGAGATCAAGACGCAGTGTTGTTTTGCATTATTAATCACCAGATCTGCGCAAATATCAAAGACGATTGCATGCAAGCGGCTATTCCACAGACCACTGTTTATGTGCAATACCTCACAAAATCGAAAGTGACTATTTGCCACCAATGGCTATAAAGTTGGAAGGAGTACATGCACATCACCAGTTTTAAAATGAATACCGTACTGCATGCATTTCAACTTATTTAAATAGAATTACAGTCTATATATTTTTTTATTTCAACGACAATCAACTCTCGCCTATTGAGTTTAATATTTTCCATATAAACAGCTTTCAAAGTTGTCTCTACAGTACACGTACTTAAAGTCACTATTTTGGAATCGTCAATCATTCCTAAGTTTTTTAACGAAAATTATTACAAACTTCTCTACCTAATTTTTTTTAACTTGCTCTTCATGCTGTAGTGCAAAAGTCTGCTTACAGTGGACCCCGGTTGATTTTAACACACGTAGACAAGACGATAGTGCAGATAGGCTTTTACATGCATTCAATAGTTTTTCATAAAATGTAGTGCATCTAAACTGGGAACTACATCTGACTTTAGGGCCTATACTTACTTTGAGTTGTTCATGGAGCAACTGGTTGGGTTGCAGATTGCCTAGTGTTGATGAGGCACCAGCTTTCCAATAGACACTTCCATGTTGCTAAGATTGATCATACAGAATGACAGGGAAATAGTACACAAATATAACATACTTTAAAGGTGGATAGTCCATATTAGCTCCCCGAGGTATTGGAAGTTGACAACATAGTTCCCGAGGTGAAGCTATGGGAACTAGTTCGTCAACCATCACTAAAGAGGGTCACATATATTGAGTAAGAAAAATTATCCACGTAATTCTTTCAAAAATCCCTTCAAATCTGAAATCTCGGAGCCTACCCCGAGTGTTTACCTGGCCAGTTCCAGATAGCGCAATTACCCGCGAGAAGTTGAAACCCGCAGCTTTCATGCGGTCAAGCAGTAGGTCTAATGCCTTGACCCACATAATAGTGGGAGAGGTGATAGTCAGGCGGTCGGCCTGGATGTGCACACCGCCCTGCGTTCTGCAGAAATGCAAGGAGAGGATATTCAACTGTTGCATACAAAATCTTGCTCAGCAATATCAAACAACTCATTCCTCAATAACAATCACTCAACACAAAAACAAGCAAGTTACTTCCCGCACACAAACATTTATAAGACAAGTAAGGCAGATATGGTGAGGATGAATTGAAATAGAATACACTTAAAATGAACATGCTTAAAACAAATAATGAAACTTTTAAGGTTTTTCAAATAAACCACAAAGGGAAACTGACGTGATGCATTATAATAATTTCTTTAAGTTGAACAAAATAATTGACTGGAGTGGGGGTTTGAACCTGTGACCATCCGGAAGGCTCTACCACTCCGGTGATTTACCTACTGAGCTATCCAGCCCCTTGTTGGCAGTTCCCATGCCGTCAATCGGTGGGGGGGGGGGGGGGGGGCAACAAGTACCAAACCCCCTCTCCACCCCCCCCCCTTTTTTTTTAAAGTGGGGGATATCATAGCATTTGTCCCCCCCCCCCCCCACCCCCCCCACCCCCCACTTTTTTTGTCACTGAATAAAAATTGTAGCCTACAGGCTAATGCACATGATTCTGTGGCTCAGAATGGCTGATTCACTTACTCCAAACTCGAAATGATGTTTAAATGATGATCTTTTGCTAGAACTAATGTTTTAAGTGGTCAGAAATGCCTCAGATCGCACCACATAGCATCTAGAATCCAACATTTTTCTTGACCCTTAAGCGGGCCGTAAGGGCTTTGCGCTTCGTGCTCACATTATTTCTGATCAAGGTATGTACTGTCCCCCCCCCCCCCCCCCTTGAGAAGTGATTTTCGCCCTTGGCAGTTCCCCATGTTGGCAGTTCCCTATGTTGGGGAACCGCCAACATGCCATAGGGATGCACTGTTAGCACTGTTTGTAATACTTTTAGCTCCGAAAGTCAAATTTGAAGTCAAATTTGAAATTCACAAACCTGAACTCTGGGAGGTCATTGTCAAACTGAACCAAGAATTCCTGCACGACACGTAGTGCATCATTTATTGCAATGGCTTTGATCTGTAAAAGTAAATTCACAAGTCAAATTCAGCATTAAATTGATTAAGGATGGATGCAATACAAATTTATTTATTCATTTTTGGTACTTAAAGTACAGCAATCGGGAAGCTTTCGGAAAACATTACAATGTAAATTTCAACAATGGGAGAAATTGGGGAGTTGCAATTTTTGTGAAGAAGTGTATGCACAGCAAGTGAACCCGTCAACAAATGAACAATAGGCATGATAGGTCGAACATATCTGGCGGTGAAAAAAGGTGAGTAATAACTTTTGTCACATGTGTAACTGTTAGTGTTAGGAACTTTGTTAGAAAATAGATATAGGCGTGAGTCCAGTAGACTGGCCCTGGACTGGTTTGCTTCTAGCCCCATAAATGTGGCCTATTTACTGGACTGCCTCCGTATATTAAAACATAGGCCACACATCCATATGTACACAAATCGTGTCGACGGAGTTTGTAGGATTTTTTTGCTTTAGAACTAGAAGCATACTCACCCTCTTTATAGGCTAATCAGAAAGTGCTGCCTTTTTCAGATGTCTAATTTTTGTGAAATTTCATGTTGAAATTTTGATACGCAAACATGTAAAAATGAATCTGGAAATTTCACGAAAAATATACATCTGAAAAAGGCAGCACTTTCTGATTAGCCTATAAAGAGGGTGAGTATGCTTCTAAAGCAAAAAAAACCTACAAACTAATCCTAAATGTGAAAATCAAAATTTGGCTCCGTCGACACGATTTTTGTACATGTGGATGTGTGGCCTATGTTTACGGAGGCAGTCCAGTAAACTGGCCACATTATGGGGCTAGTTTGCTTCTAAACTGGGAATAAAGTTAAAGAGCGGAGGTGGGGGCCATGAAATATGCATAAGCACAACTCAAAACAAAAGTTAACTGAAATTCAGGCATTCACTTAATTTCATTTTCAGTGTTAATGTTGTTCCGAGCCTCATTTCATTTAGCCGGGTATTGATCATTTCTTACTGGCACTGCTTGAATTCCATAATGATCTATGAACACTGTTCAACAATTTCCTAAAGATAAATCCATACCTGCTGAGTGCTAAAGTCAAACCCAAGAAAAAGATTTTCAAGCGAACCCGCCATCTCGAGCCACGCAAAAAGAGGTAGGCGTGTACTGCAGTGCACTTGATCTGCTTAGACAGCGTTCCTGCCAACTTCCCATTCTTTGTACACTCGATAAGTCTGGGTATCCGATCTCTAAGGGCAGTCGCGCCGCGTTTTCAAAACTGGGCTTCATTCCGGAAAGGGATGTTTGCACCATAACGTGAAGGACTCCGGCTAAATACATCCTTGGTTCCGTTTTAAAGACATTAAGTTAAACGTTATGATAAAAGGCCAACATTTTATAATTATGTCCCACTCCTTTGGACATCAAACCCTCTAAATGTTTCCGGAGCATGAGATGAGCTTACATCCGGAGCCAAGCCGATGTTTGGAAAACCTTAGGGCACCTCGGGCACATTGAAAAATCTGTACCAGTTTGAACGTTTTCAACAAGCAGTAAAAAGTAGTAAATATTTCATAAAAAGAGACATTCTAATCTTTCTATCCCATGTCAAAATAATAACATGCCATTCCCCACCCACCCATTACCAAAAAAAAGGATCCCAAAACAAAACACAACAAAAACATACCATACCTTGTGAACATTAATACATTCATTACTTTGGCATTCTTCCAGAGACAATTTATTCGACTCATTACATTCATTTATTCGACTTAAGTCAAAACTTAAATGCACATGCATCCAAATCAATGGTAATACATTTAGAAACAATGCCTTCTGGATTAAAAACAAACGTTTCATATTCCACAAATATTCTGCACACTCCTTTCATAAAACAACAGAAATGACAGTCTTTCAAATACTTTTAAACCTTAAATTATCAAGTAATGCTGCAAATCAGAACATGCTGTTTTCTCTAGCCTGAATTATTGAGGACAATTGTTTATGATAAACAAAGACATTTTTCACTTAAAACACAATGTGTTAATACATGCAATGTTAATAAATTGTTGATAATGCTCACAAAAGGTACAAATTAACAGCAAAAAAAATCACTGGACATAAAACATCACAATCGCTTCTGATATGATTGGCATGTACATTTGTGTTAAGGTTGGGGAAGTATTAGTACATTTAACTGTACATGTAACTGAAGAAATAATTTTCATGGAAATTTCTACCCAAACTTCAAAAGTACAATATTCCGTTTGGGTTTGGTGTGAAACAAATATGTTAGATTTATGTACACACAAAAAAAGGAGTTTAACAAAGTCTGGGTAGACCTTTTTTTGTCAAATTAACTTTGGTCTGTTTTAATAAAGTTATAAATAATAAGAATTAAATGTTGAAATACACACTGGCGAAAATGAATAGTGAGAAATCAAGGCTCCAAAACCAAAGCAAAGGTACAATAACATGTAGCACCACCGAAACTAATCCTGATTTTTTAAGGCAATAATTATTAATTAATTAAAACATTAAAAGAAAGTTACTACATACATGTATAGCATTAACACATCACAAAATGTTTTTTTTTTCCTAACTAACTTTCAAATCATACTCGGGTAAAGAAAATACATTAAAATACATTAAAATAAAACAACAAATTCTTAACAAACTGCACTAATCTCACTGTCAGTTGACAGAATTTTAAACTTTATCTTGTGAAATCCGTTTCACATGCAATGCAGTACAGTCAAATATGGGGAGATTTCAATAATAATCCTGGAAAAGTTGAGAGGAAATTTTCAACGACGGTCTAACTGAATCTCACTCAGGGATATCACTTTTTATACAACGCCTGAATAAATCCCCGTCATCTGATTGGTGGATCGTTGATCACCAAACCCATGGCATGGTCGCGCCGTAAAAATAGAAGTTCCATTCCACGGTGAATAGAAAGTTCCACTGCACAGTCATACTATTGGTAGCGCTATAACTCGGCTCTGAAGGCTCAGATGACAAGGATTTATTCAAGCATTGTATGAAGCAAATAATGTTTCACATTTGTGCAATGGAAAGAATAAATTCATTTGCCTCGTGGAATGGAACAGTCTACCTGTCACCTCATGAAATTACTCTTACCATTGCACTCATAAACATTCATTATTTGTATACTATTAAACAAAATAAACCCTAGCAGGAACTATTTTCTCCTAGATGTATCCTAAATATCCTAGATGACTCCTAAATATTTGACCAGAGAAACTGAAGTTATAGGCCTATTCCTGTGATCTGCACTAGAATGGAAACGCCAGTAAATTTAACATCGAAACCTATTTATGCTTGATACTCTGTCAAGTGGCAATACAATCTGATTGGAAATTCATATCCAACACCTTGTCAAATATTCACTGGGTAAAATATCCTACGCTTAGCTCCAATTTCTATTCTCTCAATACATTGTACTACATTCTTAACAATGGTCTGGCACAAGACAAATGAACTTATTTTCCCCATTTTCACTCCTTAACTGTTGCCCTGTGAAAGTAGCCTTACATTTTTCAAGTCAAGATGTAACGGATGTCAAGTGATTCCTTCTGATTATTAAACAACAGCCGAGATTGGAAATTCGACCTGCTGTATTTGCTTAAATGTCATAGGCCATGAAGAGGAAATCGGGCGAGCCCGGTAACTCGGGGTGGCCTGGGGGCACCAGCTCAAATCCCATGAACTTGAACGTCCGGATGAGCTGCGCTCTGTCGACGATGTCCCGGGGCAGGCAAATGATGACTTGGGTGCAACCGAGGTGTTCCTCTGCGGCATCGAGCAGAGCCACTAAGCTGTAAATATGAGGTGGGGAAGTAAAACAAAAGATAGAATTCTTCAGTATTTAACACCTTTACGGCAATTTTATATAAGTCGAGTGCACTTTGCACCATACGAGCCCAAACCAGTACATGCATGCACTCTGTCCTTCCCACTGGGGCTTTCGAAAATGTTTGAAAAGCACTATCTACTGTTCCTGCAAGGAGTCCAGAAGAGGATTTTAGTACCTGTCTCTGCTTCCTTGCTTGGCCAAATCGGTCGGCACTTGAATGTAGAGCCTGTTGTTCCACAGAGCCGTTTCCCAGACCAGCTTGCGATTGTCCGTCAAGGGGTGGACAAATCGCAGGAATTTCTTATCCCCTCTACCACCGACACCTGTTTCAGTATCATCAGCCTGTAAACAAAGAATTGGGTCAGTCTGATCAAATGTGGTCAGTATTTGCAAGAGCTTTTAACCATAACTCCCTAGGCCTTTTTGCTAGGATGTAGCCTCAATCTTGCAAAATCCTCCAATTGGCCTCATGGAAAAATAGCATATAGCCTCAATCCTGCAAATTCCTCTGTTATTTCTTGAATATGGTCCATGGAGGGGTGACCACTGCCTGAATCCTGCAAAATCCTCCGGCTTTGACTGTCAATAGGCCGAGGCAGAGGCAGTGACATCCTGGAGCAGTGCGGAGGATTTCAAGTATAATCAAGGACTAAATTTATGCATGGCTGAGCATAAACAACACAAGGTGTGGCCCAAGACCTTGACACAGTGCATACTCCGAAATCAGCATCGCACTTTTGGGCTGTAACCTCAATCCTGCAAGTACCTCCAATTTGCAAAAAGGATTTTTGAGGATTTAGGATGGTTAGGGTTAAAGTTCACAAGATTTAATTAACTTCAAAGGAAAAGTCTTTCAATTGACTCTTGAAATAAAGACATGATGATGGACCAGCTTTTGGACTTTGTAGTACCAAAATAATATCCCAACTCCGACAAAAAATTGTCCTGATATTTCAATCATTATTCGGATATCATGGTTAATTGGCTCCATCACGGACACAACACTTGCTTTTGTAACACTGCAATTGCCCTTATGCATTTAAAATGTAACAGATCTTACTTTCAAGAAGGATGCAAATACGCCGTCTGTATCGATTTCTTCATTGATGTCCTCTAGGACAAACTCCTGGCCGCTTCCCGTAGGAACATCAGGAATACCACTGAGATTCTCGGCTAAGCTGAAATATGTAATGCTTGCCGGACTCCCTAAACAAAGGAAAGGGAAAACAGAAATACGTCATTAGCTACATAAAAGTAGGAGGTTTCTTTTAATGGCAAATTCAACAAAGCCAGCAGTCGAAATCAATCAAGTGACTGTTTTTAACGGTTGAGAGCTCCCTGCCGACAGAAAGCAGGATTGACTGGTTGTGACTGTTCAACATCTTCCCTTGACAGTAGGTGATTCATAAGCCAGCTGTACACGCCGGTTACTTGCTTTTGCCTTTTGGTGGAATATGACTAGACACTGTGCTTACTGCAAATATGATCTGACTGTCGGTTACTAGCCTGTGTATAAAAACATTGCAGGGGAAGAGGATCAGTTTTGTTGACCATCTGTGACTGTTCAGACAGCACGAGGGTTGACATCACACTAATGGTTTAATAGTTTCCTTTTATTTTGCAAGGTCAGAATTTGTCTTTGTCTGTAAAATTGGATGTTGAAAATTGTATTTCAACCATCAAAATTAAAATGAATTCACAATCAGTTTGTTGTGTTCAAATTCAATGTCGAGTTGCGAATATTTTAGCATTAGGCCTATAGTATTTTTATAGCACATTCTGATACTGTTGAAAGTTACAAATTCATGTTTTTCTCCAAAAATGTCTGCAATGACTGGTCACAAGTTTACATGTAGGTGTCCACCTACCAGTGATTTGCTACCAACAAGACAAAAAACAATCCAAAACAAAATAAAATTACATGTAATCCCTGTAGATTTAACAATTCTGTTATTAAAGAATAATCCCTTTATATAAGAATTCTGTTAAATTTGTAAATCAAGAATATCAAGGAAATGCACACAAAATGGCTTTTATTATCAATTTGTCACAAGCAACGTGACATCATTAAAAATTGTACCAATTAGAAAAAAAAAAATTATTAAATAGGCATAAATCATCCAATTCCAAATCTTCACAGGAATAATGTTTAAAGGTTTAAAGGGAATGTACATCATTGGCTTTTGCTGTATTTTTCAGAAATGAACTATTTGAGAGGTTAGTATAATAGATCAAATATTGTTACACTGACATTTTTGAAGTTTTGTGTTCGAAAAGGTTGGAAAAACCAAGAAAAACAAAAATGTTCAAGTAGTCTGGTTCCCTGAATCCACAAAAGATAAAATGGATCAATTTATAGATGATGGAAAATTGTAAGGCAAGGGAACCAGTCTAGCTGGCCTGCACCCGTTCATGAACATGTAACCAATAGCAAACAAAATTTGGACTGAAAAAATGGTAAATTTGGAGCAGTAGTTGAAAAATAGTTAGGTTTTTCCAACGCTGGTCGGCCGACCACCGTTGGAAATGTTTACAAAAATACCATTTTCTTGAAAATGACTTCACACCAGGTGCCATAATTTTACAAGATGCTTAAGACTGTCATTTACCAACATGCTAGTAAGGTATTTCGTAAAAACTTGGTAGTTTTATTTTTCGATGTTTGCAAATGTTGTATATTCCCTTTAATTAATAACGGTGATCACATGATGCCAATGGCACATCGGCGGTATTCCCATATATGGTCATCATACCATCTGTCGAGTATTTGCAAACAATGGTGCAATATACATTGTACATGTTGTACTGGTACCTCCCTGAAATTATCAGCTCAAAAGATATGATAATGCAGTACCTGTGCTGGTACTGACTGTTAATATTTAACAAATCACATCAATGCATTGTGCAATCGAGCTACAATATATAGTACAGATGCTCAGTTTACACAACTGACAGAAATTGAACTTTAGCCTAAATTGTTATTGTTCAACCCATTACCAAACAGGAAAGTGTCTACGTGCAGTTTACATGAAAATTTATACAATACTGAACACTAGCCCCATTTACATGTTTCAAAAACTGGACTTCCTCCATATTTATAGCCACACGGCGATGCATGCTAAAATTGCCTGAAAAAAATGTGTTTCCTGAATGTAAAATCTCGATTTTTTTTTTCACTTGATGTGCTATGAAAGCTACTTAAAATCTGGTCAATAACAGGAAAAATCTTAATTAAGGTAAAAGCCACACGACCCATGGTTTTTGACAAACTTTCTTCAAATTTCCCTGAAAACTGAAGGATAACTAGACATCTAAAAGTACATGTATGGTTTGCAGGCCTACATGTACAGGTATGTTGTTTAAAAACAATCCCTCCCCCCAAAAAAAAGAAATATATGAAAAAGGTTGCATATAAATACAGTCTGTGCGACAGTTCCAGATCACTTTTTATACAAACCACTGTACATTTGCCCATGATCGGATTTAAATAAAAAGACGGCAATTCTGTAGAGTAGTGCCCCTGTTTAGTTTTGATTAAATTAGAGTCAAGAGTGTTTTTATTACCCAAAAATGACCTTTTCAACCTAAAGTAGACTTCTTTCAATTATGATGACACCTTTTTTGTAATTTTTAACAGTTTCTTGGTGTAGAAATTACTATTTTCTTAAGCAGTTTACGGTTGGGGCCGTGCGAGTCAGTGCGCCTTGAACATTCACGGTACATCGCGCGGTGATCGCGATCTGTATTTTCATATTTTGTCATTGTCATTGTCATTTTACCCTGAAATTTCCCTCAAAAATTCAAAACCCTGCTGGGCTGCTCTCTATCTATGACATACATGTACATGCATGTTCTTAATGCCGCCAACTATTTTGGTTGGCCAAAATAGTTTAAAAGATGAAGTGGATTTTGTTCCCTTATATAGTTATAGGGAACCGGGCCCATAGACAATGGTAGGCACACGAACGCCATAAAGACTGCTCGTTTTAGCATGCTGCTTGTGCTTGGGGCTGCAAAAAAGTCAATTTGTAAAATCCGACAAGTGACAGTCACGTCATTCGCTAGACCCGTGAACGTGGCTATATACATGTACATAGCCACGCTTCGATCTACAGTAAAAATAAACTGTTGTGATCCGCGGTTACAGTGACCGAGTGACCGTTCTAGCCGATTTTCAGCTAAATTTGACAGAATATTTGCATACAAAAATGAGTTGCACAGAAAATTCAGCAGAATTTTTTTCAGCAGAATTATGAAGATCGCTGTTTCTAAAAGAAAAGTATAGCACATTTGGTTTGAAAAAGCTTCATTTTTTTTAAAACCCTGAAACACAACCTTGCACAATGCCAATGAAACAGCAAGGCAATGTTCTAACATCTGTGCGGTTTTAAGTGTTTATTGTGTATTCGTGTAATACTGGGTGATTTGGCAGGTTTTTGAATTGGATTTAGCAGAATTTTGACACGGACCCATGGTATTACTATTTCTGTCACCCTGCCACATAAGACGGGTACCCACTGGTGGAGCTCCCACCGTTTTGCGCATGCGGAACTCGGTGTACCAGAGTACCATGCATGTCTTTGATTTTCTGACCATTTTTAACACGTTCGTTGTGCCGTATTTTTCATCAAATTTCTTGGCAATGACAGATCCAACACTCACGTACATTCACAGAAAGCTTAACAAGTAAGTGATTACCCTATAGGGCAAAATTATACGTGAGTGATGTCACGGATCAAAATATAAAAATGACATCAAATGTTTCAAAATGACACCAGAACGTGGCATTGTTTACAACATGAACAATACATGTACAACGCCACGTTCACTAGACTAGCAATGACTAGTCATTCGCAAAAGTCATTTTTTGAACGGAACAAGTAAAAAAGGAGGGTACAACTATAGAATGCAGGGCCACTACACTCTACATCCGCGCCTCTGTACGGCTGCGTGGAGGCGTGGAGCCGCAGTCGACCTACCTCCGAGAATTGCGCCCTCTATCGGCGCGCGTCTCTGCGACTCCGCGACTCCAGTGCCCCGTCGCCCTCCCTTCCTTTGCGAGGAAATTAAAAATGGATATGGATGCTTCGTTCTCAAAAAAATACCGCCGAGAATTGCGCCCTCTATCGGTGGCGCGCGTCTCTGCGACTTCGCGACTCCAGTGCCCCGCGTCTAGTCTCTGCGACTCCGCGACTCCTCGACTCCGTGACTCTAGTGCCCCGCGTCTCCGCGACTCCGCGACTCCAGTGCCCCGCGTCTAGTCTCTGCGACTCCGTGCCCCGACACATTTACAAGCGCGCCCTCCCTTCCGATCATTGATGAGAAGACAAGTGCATTCGCTGTACTTAGCACTTTTTGCAGGTTTGCATATTATTATATTGTAGCCTATTAGTTACTCCTATCCTCACATCGCCGGCCTCGATCCACGCCTCCAAGACCAAGAAAAGTCCAAGCAGAAAAAAAAACCTTGCTCCGGCGTGGCCCTGCATTCTATAGTTGCTCCAAAAGGAGGTGTCCTAAACTACACGATTTAATAATACTAGGATAAGTAGACCCGTGAACGTGGCTTGTAAACTACGCCACGCTGTTGTGTATTTCTGAACCTGGCGAAATTGTCCCTCTGACTCCCTCCATTACACACACTGGACATGCTGGACGTTATTTTGCAAATGTAATAAGTACTCACATATGAAGCTGTCTTGAAATCTGTATGTACATCAAAACTTGCATTTGACGAAATTTGAGGAAAATTCTGGCCCCGGTTTATGAAGTCCTGCTAGCTGCCATTTTCTCCCAAGTGACGCATGCGCATTGCGTTTTATTGTACCCTCCTTCGTATAATTCGACGACTGTTTACTGTCGCAGCTAAAAGAGACATCGTTTTAAACAAGTTTCAAGTCCTTTCCTCTCTCACCGCACCACACGCGGGCGCACGTACGTGCGCCCACGTGCGTGTGCACACACGTACACGAGATGAGCCGAGCAGCCAATCGGGTGCGGTTTTTTTTTCGGGGTTGCGACATGAAACAGCCGTCAATCTGTCCAAGCGACTCGTCCGAGGTCATTTGTCAGGGTCACTTGTCGGGTTAAAATGAAATTTCTACACGTTCGTATGGGTCTTTACTGATGGGCAAAATTCGTCGAAATTACACAGCCTAAACAATCGGACGGGCAATTTTAGATTTCTAGGTGAGTACTCGACACCCATACGGAATTATGCATGTCGGATCGATTTCGCTAGGTTTTAAAATACACAACAACGTGGCGTTGTATACAACGCCACGTTCACGGGTCTATAGGATAAGATACTCTTTCCATAGAATGTTTAAAATATAAATTAAAGTTGTGCACAATCTTAAGTTAATGTGATCCAACCAACCATCAAATCATTAACTTACAACATGGCGGCGACATCGGCGGAGAGTTTACTGCTGCTGAATCGAGACATTGACAATGACATTGTCCCGACTTTTTCCGACGTCTTTTCTTCATGCTTTTTGACGTTTTGATCCAGCTTGGCCAATTTTGTTAATGATAACACCATAACTGGAAATTAATGCCAACAATATTTCTTTTGATAGAGGAAAACAGGTTTGTTTCTGCTCGCAGATTTTCGTTCTAAACACTGGGGAAAATGCTGGAAAATGATTATGACACGACCCGGATTTTTATTGGAAGCTAGTGACGCAATCACCGATTGTCTGGTATCCCGTCGTCACATAATGATACAGAATGCAAGGTCAGCTCGGGTCCATTGTGGGGGCGTTTCAATGATTGTCTATGGCTCTACGGCTATGTCTATTCAGCTATTACTCTCGTACACCGCTTGTACACTTACAGCAAATTTCAAAGCCGTAGCCATAAATAATTTGGGCTAACAGACAACAATGATACCCCCCGCAATGAATTAAACAAGGGAATAAAATAATGTGTGCTGGAGAGGTTCTTATGGGGGTAAATAAACTTCCATAGACCCCAATGGTAAATGCTCCCACTTCAAAAATTCGGGAAAAATACTCACAACTCTCCAAGGTGTTCGAGACACACATCAAATTAAAGCTTATTTCATCATCTTTCATTTTCTGTTCAATTTTCGGGGGTCAACTGATGACTTTTAGGAGAACTTTCCATCTGAAGATGATCACCCCTGAAAATAGTCCTGAAGCCCATCGCCATTTTGAAAAACGATGCCTACACTCCATTGCAAAATAGAGCGCTTTTAGGGTCCAAATTACATCAAAATTACACAGAACTGCAAGCTCCCAGTCCTGTGCACGGCTTCCACCCATATTTATGGCCCACAGCATGCTCAAATACCGAAGATTTTGAGGGCATGCAAATCGTGATTTGGCCGGCGCAGGCAATTTCGGACCGATTTACTGGTCTGCACCCTATATCACTCTGTTTAAGACCGCTTAGAGTTTGGGTGCTGAGTATTACCCGAGCCGGATCAGCACCCAGACTCTAAGCGGTCTTAAGCAGAGTGTTTAATGAACCACATAAAATAAAGAGACAAACAGTCAAGCTGTTTTGGGTACATTAATGGAGAACCATTTATTCTAAGGCTACTAGGCCAGACCAAATTGAATTAAGAAATTCTACAAGGCCAAACACATACACTATAGAGTCTGTATTGTAACTACATCTAAGAAATAAAAGAGAAATCCTCATGAATGAGATACAAAATTAGACCGTAAAAAGAAAACTTTAGGCAAACTGTTACATAATCTAATTAAAGGAGAGGGAGGGTGGGAAGAAAATTGTTGAAGTCAGTGCTGCTGCGGCTTGAATCAGAATGAAGCTGATCGCACTTGCCTTCACCATATAAACCCATTTCATGACACATAGAGACAATACTAATTATTTAACTGGTTGCTATGCAAAACCATCTGTTTCCATGACTCATGAGGGAGAGTACTTGGAAACAGGATGTGGGGGACCTGCCATGTGGAGGCCATGGACCAACACTGACCATGAGTTGTGGTAAGTGTTGTTTGTGCATCAAATGTATACTGTCTCCTGTAGTTCAGTAAAACAAAAATCATCCTTGATTTTCTCCTTTAATGAACCACATAAAACAAGGAGACAAACAGTCAAGCTGTTTTGGGTACGTTAATGGAGAACCATTTATTCTAAGGTTACTAGGCCAGACCATGGAGGAAGGAATAGTCTATTCCTTCCTCCATGGCCAGAAGAAATTCTACAAGGAAATTCTACCGCGCGCGCGTGTGCGTCGTTCCAATACTTGTGCGCGCTGCGCTGAATAACAAAACGAACTACCAATTTAAATTTTCCTACGGTGCTTCTTAAGAATCACCGTTGGAAATGCCTTCTTTCGTTGATTACTTCAAAATGACAGCGTCCCAGAAAGAATAATTTCACAGGGAGTTTAGTTCCCTTACTATCTTTCAACCAAGTTTGTTTTTCAACAGTAATTACGCCAGTTACTTTTCGGATGGCTGCAAATGATGGACTATAGCTTTAAAGCCAACTTTTAAAACTGTGTAAAGGCCTGCAATTGCAAAACAAACCAAGCAATTTTCACGTTCATATTTCGTGCGGAAAAGAAAATCGAAATGTTGAAAAAGCACGTGGGCCCTATATAGGCCTACAAACTTGTAAAAATGTCATACTTTATGAAAATGTGTGCGTGGCGATGCAGCATTTCGATGATCTCTAAAAAATGGATGCTGTGTTTCGATGATATTTGTTGTTCTTCCTTATACCGACGTTCTTAGCGCCCATTTTACCCCCCTTAGGGCAGTGGCATAGCGGGAGGGGGTCTGTTGCACAGTGGCAAATTGCAACCGGCTACAGATTTTTAAAAGCGAGCCGGGGGGGGGGGGGGAGCCGGCTACATCATCGGAGAAAGCGAGTCACGTCAGTCGGTAGTGATGAAGAGCGCCACCTATAGACTAGCCTGCACCCTTTAAACAGCTGCAGGAGCTTTAATGATGTCTTTATATTATAGGCCATGATAATGCCATCCCCACTTCCCTCCCAAGATTCTGTGAAGCTCCTCAGGTTGCAGGCCAGTAAATCGGTCCAAAATTGCCTACGCCAGCCAAATCACTATTTGCATGCCCTCAAATTCTTCGGTATTTGAGCATATTATGGACCATGAACTTGAGGGTTTGTAAAAAAAATATGGGTGGAAGCCGTGCACAGGCCTGTGAGCTTGTAGCTCTGTGCAGTTTGGATGAAACTGGGACCCGAAAAGTGCTCTATTTTGCAATGGAGTGTAGGCATCGTTTTTCAAAATGGCGACGGCTTTCAGGACTACTTTAAGGGGTGATCATCTTCGGATGGAAATTTCTCCTAAAAGTCATGAGTTCACCCCCCGAAAATTTCAAAGAAAATGAAAGATGATGAAATAAGCATTAATTTGATGTGTGTCTGGAACACCTTGGAGAGTGGTGAGTATTTTTCCTGAATTTCTGAAGTGGAGGCATTGATCATTTGGGTCTATATGGTAGCAGTATATTTAATGGTCTGCAACCATCAGCCCTTCCCGGCCCAGCGCCCTATGCCCTGTGTGCAGGGCGGGGGAACGAGCAAAAGAGGCACATCGGTATCGTGAACAGCGCCCCTAGAGTAATGTGGTGTCCTGATGTAATTGATTTCGTCTGCATTTTAATATTCGTGTGGGTTTTTTTTAAATTGAGGATGAAAACTTGCTTTTGACGTTTTTTTTACGAAAATACTGTTTGATAAAAGGCTGATGAAGGACGGTTGGGAACAGCGAACGGAATATGCCTATAGACCTGACAAAGAGTCAGGCGCGAATCCAGAGGGGGTCAACCCGCCCCCCCCCCCCCCCCCCCACACACACACACACCCCGCCAGAACCCCCCTTCCCCCCAACCCCCCACCCGCTCTGATGCACACAAAATATGTATAGGCTAACAATTATAATAATGATAAGATCGGATAAAAAAATCGAACAGGCCTGACCCTCCCCCCCCCCCCCCCCCCCCCACCCCGCCAAAATTCCTGGATCCGGCCGCCCCTAGCACGGAACGCACATGATGCCTGTTTAAAAAAAACCTACATAAAAAATAAAGTGTTCGTTGTTGCGTAACGATAAGAATGTTTAGCAGACAAATTGTTTTTTGAGGAGAATTCTAAGGAAGCCTGATGGCCGAGTGTTAAGATTCGTCGTCCACGAATCGCGGAGCCCGGGATCGAATCCCGTCGGTGTCTTTTTGCTTTTCAACACACGCGTTCTATTCAGTCATTATAAGATGTTTAATTTCCCGTCGTAAAATACCAACGGTACCTTGGCTTAATCGGTAAGCACTGCGGCTGGTACTGTCCGTGAGTTCCAGGTTGGCGCCTTCGTACAGGTTCAGGGCATGTGGTCCACTCGGAGGATCAGGGCTTAGGGGCCGCCCTGTTCCTCCCTTAGCTCTTTGCTTTTACATGGTGCCTGGCCCTCCGGGGTTACATGGATGGACAGGGAAGGAAGTGTGTATTGGTCGGGGACGCCGAGACCCTGGAAGAGAACTAAGGGATTGGCTGGGGCATTGTTATGGCTCAGACCGATCCCTGAAAGCTTGGCTAGCACATAACTTTTTGATTTTTTTTGTATCCTCTTTTTTCTTCAACTTTGGTTTAGTTTGATATTTACATCTGCTCGGCAGTGCTACGGTAGTATTAAAAACAAACAAAGGTCTCTGTAATAAATCCATGAATTTTGAATAACTTAATATAATCAAAACGAAGTTTCTTTCGATCAATATGGCTTGACCATTATTAACGGCACAATTTCCAATTGACGTAAGAAACGCCGTATGCAATATTACGTACCGGGCAAAATTTTAAATGTGCATTGTAATATGTATATTACATCTTTCAAATAATGTTTCTTTAACTGTGAACATTCCCAAAAAAATATATTAATTCTGAAAATAGGAAAACGCAAGAAAACAAGGCCCCTCACCCTTAAAACTGGAAATTCAAAATTGAAAAAAACAAAGTCAAGTGGAACACCCGAATGTACCTTAAGGATTGAATTGGAAAATTCCATTCATAACATGGGGCTTTTACAGACGCACCCTACTTTCAAATTGGGCGCCGTTCAAATCCGACGATTATAACACTGTATTATTACAGAATAGCGTACAAATACCCAAGTGCGTGCACAGGCGGACGTTATTACCAGTATAGATTGTTTGGGGTGTCGGAGCGAGGGGGGGGGGTTTCAAAAAAATTTTTAAGGTAATTTCTATGAAAAAATTGTTTCACAGAGCTGTGGACCCCCCCCCCCCTCCTTATCGGTGCCTGGGCAACTCTTGTACAGTGCTAGATATTTGATGGTTTCTGCCGGCGCGACGTCAGACCATACGTCGTGTCAAAAAATAATGTCTTACTTATGATCCCAAATAACTATGTTGTTTACAATTACAAATGGAATTCAACCCAAAAAAAAAAATTAAAAATCGAAATTTCAATGAGCTTTCAAATAAGACATCGCACGAAAATAAAAATCAGCCCATATCAAGCAATCAATTAATATTATTAATCAATTTCAACTTTCGAATTAAGAGCGGGACGCTCCTATAAATTCGTTCTGAATAGTGTGCGCAATTTCAGAACTGGAGCGCGTCATTTAAAGCCAACTTTTAAAACTGTGTAAAGGCCTGCAATTGCAAAACAAACCATGCCAATTTCACATTCATATTTCGTGCGGAAAAGA